CTACCCCACCCATGTCCCAGGCCTGGCCCACACCGGGTTCGCCCCCACTTACCTCCAAGACACCCCAAAACTACAAGGACAGTGCAGTGACCACAACAGGGAGAAAAAGGGGGACAGTGCCATGTCCTCACTTCCTCTGGTCCCCTGGACCCCCCAGTTTCTTCAGTCAGTCAGTCTGTCTCTCCGCCCATCCCGCCCCCCAGGCCTCACTCTGGCTCGGCCATCTCTGCACGCCCCCCCCAAGCCCACGTGTCAGCATTTTACAGTTCTCCCTCCCCAGGTGGGCCTGAGACTTCCCTTCCCCCCAAAGCAGGGGTGTGAAGGGGTCAGAATGGGGTGAGAGCCAGGCGTTGGCTCCCACCTGTCATCCCAGCTACCCAGGAGGCTGAGATCTGAGGATCACGGTTCAAAGCCAGCCAGGGCAGCAAAGTCCATGAGACTCTGATCTCCAATAAACCACTAGAAAACCGGAAGTGGCACCGTGGCTCAGGTGGTAGAGCGCCAGCCTTGAGCTGAGGAACGGAGGGACAATGCCCAGGCCCTGAGTTCAAGCCCCAAAACTGACCAAAACAACAACAACAACAAAAATGGGGTGAAGACGCCCCTCCTTCTCCCTTCAGCCGGGAACGCGTGCAGAAGGAGCAGCTGGCGAAGGCCATGCCCACCTTCCTGAAGATGTGCGAGCCCTATCTCCTGTACCTGGAGGCCGCGGGCAGGAGCGCACCCCCCATCTATGGAGGCCTGCAGGAGGTGATCAGGAAGGGGGTGAGTGCCGGACGGACTGGGCCAGGGGGCCTGGGGGGCCTGGGCCAGCCTGCCCCGGGCCCCTGAGCGCCCCCTCTCCCCTGCAGCTGTTGGAGATCTCACAGCAGCTGACGCTGCGCCTGGAGCAGCTGGTGTTCATGTACGCCTCCTTCGGCTTCGTGGACCTGGACGAGACTGACCCTCTGAGGTGGGGATAGGAGCGGGGGGGGGGGGGGGGGGGAGCAGAGGCCAAGGGCCAGCCTCAGTTTCCCTCTGCCATCTCCCCCCCCAGCATCTCCTGCTTCTTCTGTGGGAGGTTCTCCATCAGCCCCGCCCACGAGGTGTCCATCTTCAGATACTGCAGCCCCGCGCCCTACACGGCCGCGCGCTTCCCCAGGTACCTCTACAAGAAGATGCGCTGGAACCTGGAGGTCACCCCGGAGCCCAGCAGCCGGGGCCAAGACCCCCATGTGGACTAGTGAGTGTCCCCGCCCCCCTGCCCCATCCCAAACCCTAACTCCTCCCTTTCTGCGGCTACAGAGGCTGAGATCCAGGAGGGGGGGGGGGTCTCAATCCTCAACCTGGTTTGTGCAAAAGCAAAACCAGGAAGCAGAGCCTTTTGGGGTGTCTCGCGCATGCCACGCAGATCCTCTCACCATGAGCTACACACTCAAGCTTTTATTGATTTTTACTTATTTATTTATTGCCAGTCCTGGGGGGCTAGAACTT